AGGTGGAGTGAAAGGCACACTATAGTCACCAGAACAACTGTATTTGTTCTGGTGAGTATAATCATTACCTTCAGGCTTTTTAGAGTAGACACTGTTTGTTTCAGAGAAAATGCAGTGTTTATATTACAGCTTAGGGATAACTCCACTGGCCACTCCTCAGATGGCTGGTAGAGGTGCTTCCTGGGGCAGTGCTGCACAGTGTGACTGCCATTCAGTGTCTCCTCCCTTTGCATTCAGACACTAAACTTTACTCATAGTGATGCATGGATTCAATGCATCTCTATGAAGAGATGCTGATTGGCCAGGGCTGTGTTTGACTTGTGCTGGCTCTGCCCCTGATCTGCCTCCTTGACAGTCTCAGCCAATCCTATGCATTGTGATTGTCTCAGATCACCACTTCGGATGATGTCAGCAGACAGCAGGCAGATCAGGTGCAGAGCCAGCAGCTGCAGACTTGAATACAAGTAAGGTTTTACTATATTTAGAAAGTTCAAGTAAGGGCCAGGGGGGCTAGATGGTGGCTTTTAACACCATAAGGTCAGGAATACATATTGTGTTCCTGTCCCTATAGGGTTCCTTTAACCCTCCAAGGTATTTATTGCAGTTTCTCAAAAACTTCAATAATTATCATTGCAGGGTTATGGGACCTGGGAGACTGCACCTAGACCAATTCAATGAGCTGAAGTGGTCTGGGTGCCTATAATGTCCCGTAATGCAACACACAATGCAACACGTGTCACATGGCCTGCACTATTGCTCAGTGTAATGCTGTAAAGGGATCACAAAATTGTGGCAGATTGCAGAGTTTAGGGTAAAACAGCCTGTCTGTGAATCCTGCAGGGTGAGATTTGTTGGCAATGCAAAGTGAATTTCACATGTAATTAATTCCCAAATACCTAAACTTTAAGTCAGCAATGCTTCCTGTTTGGCTACTGTGGCCTTAAATGTGAAAGTCACTCTTTAAACTCCAGACAATTCTCAATTTAGTAAATAATCCTACCGGTCTCTAAATCTGCTATTTTTGCACATCAGTTTTCAGGTCACTACCAGTCACAGTTTATTGAATAATCCCCGTTGTGTTGAATTTGATTAAATGTTTACCATATGGGAACAAAAAAAATGCATTACACATCAATCTATTTTTCTGTTTAGATTTTAAAGTAACAGGTTCTCAATGCTGAAGGTGCTGTGGTGTTTAAGTGGAGCTGACCAAGGTGCTGAAATTCATGATTTGTCCCTACCATGGGTGATTTTATAACACCCAAACCTCTGCTAGACCTCCTACTGGCCCCTGGATCATCACACCTGCACTCAAGGACTGCTGTCTATACACAGAATTTACTTAAAAGTTTCTTAAAAGTAAGCTATGGACAGAAAATTCTATATATATATTTTTTTAAATCTATCTAAATAGAGAATATAAAGAGCAGGCTTTGGATGTCAGCTTTGGTGGCAGTACCTTTCTGTAGTAGGTAATGCAAACAATGCATCCAGATGTGATTTCTCACCATAGGGCGCAGGCTGTTAATGCCACTGCTGGCATTGCAATAACGTCTATATTTCCCGGGAGTTCACGTGAGAACCTGCCACAGATTTCTGTGATCCCGGAACCATGATTCGTGTGTCAGGCAAGATATCAAGCCTTGGTGGCATCAGGTAAGTTGGGAGTTAGAGAAAATTGCACATCTCGCATAGAATGTAGAGAATATCTACCTGGAGAAACAGTGTGAAGGATAATAACTAGAAATGGCTAAAAGGATACATAATGTAACTGAAATGTGGTCGAAAAAGAAAGATCATGTGATACAAATTCTAGCCTTATAAGCCACCATAATAGAAATATAGGGAGGAACGTTGGTCCGTGGTAGAATATCGGATAATAAATATCCTAAAAATAAAAAGAGCTTTATTATAAACTAACCAATGAACACAGTACCAGCAACCAACCATCAGCTAGTAAATAGAAAGTTGGGAGCTAGTCCTGAAGGCTTGTGCTGCATGTGGCTTCAGGCCAACGTAGGCCCCTCTCCTCTTACCACTGGATGGCTGGTTGGTATAAAAATGGTATCAATCAGCAGCTAAAACCATCCGGATGCCGGTTACGTCAGGTTAGTCACCATATCTTCCAGCCAATTGCCGGTTATTTTACAAAAACTCCTTCCCAGGATACGGTTTATAAATACTCATGATGCTGGAAATATTTGAGGACTAGTAATGACTGTACTTCGGCAATATCTAGGGATCTAATGTTTGTCTACCTTTTAGAAAATATTTGGAAATTCTCCTGGCCCCGCTGCTGAATGACATAGCGGAGTCATATTCTCATGTTAAAGGGAATTTATCACCCCCTCTTCAGATGTGTCATCTTTTAAACATGTTCAACATGTGAGATGTATTACCTTCCAGTCTACCTGTTTTGTAATTGAAATGTCTTAGAGCAGGGACACATTTCTGTTCCTTTAACACATTCCGGTCAGGAATTCAGATAATCCCTTTACATCCCCAAAAACTCATGAAGTCATAAAGAGGTTAATTCTAGTAAAAATGTGCTTGTACGTTGAGCCACCATCAGGGGGTTCAGCCAGTACCCCAATACGGAGATAATCATTGGGGCCCTGTAACACGATGCTGTGAGATATAAAGATCTCCCCTAACAGGACTGCATAACAGAACACCAATGGTGCGAGACCCTGAATGGGCTGTTCTGACATTCCTGTTAAAAAACTGTGAGAAAGTTCTGACAGACCACTACCTCTCCTTGTGTGAAACAAGACATGTAGGGGGTGAATGAACATCCCACACTAGATCCCCACCAAAGGAGGGCCACTTAAAACATACATTTCTTTGTGACTGTGCCTGATAATGTGTATCTGTCAGTGAGTATATGTGTGCGTGTGTGTCTACCAGTGAGTGTGTGTTTGTCTGTGTGTCTGCCAGTAACAGGGGCACTGATTCCATGCACTTTTTTTGTCAATAAACGTGTGTTTCTGGTAGTGAGTATCCATGAGTGTGTGATTATCTGTGTGTGTGTGGGTGAGTGTGTGTGTAGCAGTGATTATCTGTATGTGAATCTGTGAGTGTGCCTGAGAATGAATGTCTGGCAGTGAGTATCCATGCACCGCATTAAATAACGTGAGTTCAAAGTGACTAGTGCCACAATTAATAACAGAATGATGCATGTCCATATTAAATCGTCAGTTGCCACCTGAAAAATCATGAATGCCTGGAGACATACAACAGTTACATACAGGCAACATGACAGGCAGTAAGTATCTGTGTGTGTCTGTGATCTGGTGTCTGTGTCTGTGAGGGTGTGAGTGTGTCTGTAAGTGTTTTATAGCTGTCTGGTGGTATGTGTGAATATATCTTGGAGTGTATGTCGGGCGGCCTGTCCAGTAGCTTTGTAAAAGACCCCACATTCTGAGTGCAGTCCTGTTTATAGATATCAGGTCCATGGTAGAGTTTATTCACTAAATTGAATAAACTGAAAACCAAACTGCACAATTTAGACTCCAACTGCCTCTGTGTGACTATAACCGAGTTGAAATGTTTTTCGAATCAGTTCCATTGACCTGAATTTTGAAATTTGTTTTAAACTTCATTGCAATTCAGTTTTATTCCACCTCTAAGGGTAGAATACAAAAAGGGTGAATTTTGCTGATATTAATCACTGCGTGACACTTACTGACAGTAGGAGAACTTGATATTCTCTAAACAATTTTGACCACAGATCAGGATTCTCTCATTTTTCTTTACATGAAACACCAAAGGCATTATTTCTGGCTGAGAAAGCTCTGAGTTCAGACCTGTCACTCACATGCCAGTGCGAAGTAAACTACAGAAGGATTAAGATTAAAGTGGACATGAAAGTAGCAACGTTTGTCTTTCCAGAAAAACAAAATTGCATCAAATCATATTTTTCTAAGAGGAATCCATTTATAGGAGCATTTAACAATGAAACCTCACATCGACATGTCTGATAGCACAGATTTAGTAGGGGTGGAAACAGACGGCGCCCCACAGCATCCAGGAGGGGCACTGATTCCATGCACTTTTTTGTCTATAAACGTTACAGTTCTCTAACCAGAAGAAGAACCCTAGTGCATAATTAACAAAATAGCTGCCTTACATCCCACACAAAAAGTTAATATTTAGGGCATTATAACAGGGCAGACAGCCTAGCAGCAGGGGCATTGCTTGGGGCGGAGGAGGCTGACACGCTAGTGCCCCAACTGGGGACCTTAAAAGTCCCAAACCTCATTTTGGAACCCTTTCATTGTTTGCCCCGAGTCCCCTGTAATAAATGCTTCCTTTATTACACACACGCACTGCATCCACTATAAATACACATATCCCATGATGCTTAGCTATCTGACACGCTAAGCATCATGGTAATGTATCTGGAAAACATGTGGGGTGCCAAGCATAGACAAAAATACAGAGTTGCGCATGTTTTATTTTGCGAGGGTGCCATTGCTATAAGAGAAAACCTCTCTGCCCCCCAACCCACCAATTCCTTTTACTAAATAAAATGAAAAAAATAAAATAAAAAGATAAACTCTGTTAATGTGTCAGCAATAAGTTACTAGGCAGGCAGCCTTCCTATACTGTGCCGCTGCCATGTGCCGCTGTGAGGAAATCTATTTAATAAACTAATTAATTTCTGCTATTGTTAAGGTTTGCAGACAAGCTGAAGATTGCTGTTGTGACGGCAGTAACCCTTTGAGTACCTAGTCCGTGGTTGAACTGAATGCATTGCACGTGGGTGTGTTTGTAAATTGTTCAAATTTATACCACGAAGTAAATGACATAGGAAATATGATATTACCCACTGCAATGCCAAAATAATCAGCAATGTGTTATTGGACTGATCCCACCCCCTTTTTATTTTTTGCACCATGCTGCCATTAAGCAACTCGGTATTCGAAGGCCAAAGCAGGAGAGGCAACAATACCAGAGAAAGAGTGGGATACTGCCAGTGAAGGGAATTAGCATGATCATTAGCTAGAGAAGCATGCATTGAGTGTTTCTATAGCCGATAATAAGGATGGGAGCATTGCGATAGCCGATGAGAGGGGTGGGAGCATAGCTATAGCCGATGATAGGGATTGGAGCATTGCTATAGCCGATGACAGGAATGGGAGCATCGCTATAGCCGATGAAAGGAATGGGAGCATCGCTATAGCCGATGATAGGGATGGGAGCATTGCTATAGCACATGATAGGAATGGGAGCATCGCTATAGCCGATGATAGGGATGGGAGCATTGCAATAGCCGATGATAGGGATGGGAGCATTGCAATAGCCAATGACAGGGATGGGAGCATTTCAATAGCCAATGACAGGAATGGGAGCATCGCTGTAGCCGATGATAGGAATGGGAGCATCGCTATAGCCGATGATAGGGATGGGAGCATTGCAATAGCCGATGACAGGGATGGGCAATAGCTGATGACAGGAATGGGAGCATCGCTATAGCCGATGATAGGAATGGGAGCATCGCTATAGCCGATGATAGGGATGTGAGCATTACTATAGCCGATGATAAGGATGGGAGCATTGCTATAGCACTTGATAGGGATGGGAGCATTGCTATAGCCGATGATAGGGATGGGAGCATTGCTATAGCCCATGATAGGGATGGGAGCATTGCTATAGCCGATGATAGGGATGGGAGCATTGCTATAGCCGATGATAGGGATGGGAGCATTGCAATAGCCGATGATAGGAATGGGAGCATCGCTATAGCCGATGATAGGGATGGGAGCATTACAATAGCCGATGATAGGGATGGGAGCCCTGCTATAGCTCATGATAGTGGCGGGAGCATCGCTATAGCCGATGATAGGGATGTGAGCATTGCTATAGCCGATGATAGGGATGGGATCATTGCTATAACTGATGAATGGGATGAAAGCATTGCTATAGCCGATAATAGGGATGGGATCATTGCTATAACTGATGAATGGGATGAAAGCATTGCTATAGCCGATGATAGGGATGGGAGCATTGCTTTAGCACATCACAGGGATGGGAGCATTGCAATAGCTGGTGATAGAGAACAAAACTGACAATAACTGTAGCATGTTAAAAACATTAAAGTCTAAAACACTCTCATTGTCTTTATTTTATTTTGACTGGCCAAAATCAATATAGAGAATAAAATTACACTGTGAATCAAAAATGTAAATGTACAAATGTAAAATGTCAGTTAAACGCCATATAAAGGCAAAACATTATGGGGTATTTTTAACGTGATATCCATCAACATGCTAAAATAGCACAGTTTATAATGTATTTGTGCAATCACAATATTTACCAGTAACTTTTAATATAAATTGCTACAAATACTAAGCACATAAAGAAAATGTCCTAATTATTTGTAACTATCTATTTTTGTTGCGATTTTATAGTGCATGGCTTCCTAAATGTACTTTTTTCTGTAGATAAGACATTTAGAGACGGTTCTATCAGTACAATCTATGGCTGTGCACCTACAAGAGACGAGCCTTCTAAAATCATCACCTTGGCCTGCAAGTCACGTTGAATCAGATAATCATTTCATTGACTGCTTGACACATGGCTCCGTCTCAGGATTTCAAAGCTCATGACATCAAATCACTCATTTAACAGCAATAGATTTCACCAGTTTGGATGTATCATACCGTCCAAGAAACCTGACATTCATAACTAGATAAGAAAGTCTTGCTCATCGCACTCGTCGCCTCTCACCTGCTAGAAAAACTCAGAATCAATTTATTTATATTTAGACAATTGCAAAAAATTGCCTTCAGCGATATGTCTGAATAAAATGCCGGGTAATCGTGGAACAAATTGTTTTACCTGTAGCTTTACCCATGCAGTGTACAGGTGAGATCATTTTGGAATCGTTTCATTCCAGTATTGATTAACATGATTTTCATTCGGAGACATCACTCCAAATTTATTTTTTAACAGGTCTCTTAGACTTTCTCTCGAATGGCTAGAACTAAGAGGGGTTAAAGAGGAACAAAAAAAGTTTGAAGAAAGAAAACATCTTGTTTACATTTATTATGATAAATTGGTGAGATAAAGTTAGATATGTCATGGCATGGGACCATCATATTTCAGAACATACTGCAGTTTTGTAGGCCGGACTGGAGAGGTCAATCATTTTCTCCTCTTGACTACATGTCCCAGTGCTTCTCCCCTTTAATCTTTTCCCCATCTCCCTTTTCCACTATTTTTATTTAATCCATAATTTCATAGCATGTTTACCCAAACATTGCATTTCCCCATTTGACCACATTACTAGACGGATATGTCATAAGAGGTTTATAGGGGTGCTCCCATACCATCATGAGGTCAAAGGGAGAACCCTGAATGCTGACATTTGATATGTGGTTAAACGTGAATTAATTTACTATGTGGTGTACACAGAACTTGATGTTTTTCCCCCTTTCTTTATGAATACTCACTGTATATAATCTGGAAATTGTACAAATAAAGACTTTAAAAAAAAACAAAATATCTCACTATATCCAAAAAAAACAAAAAAAAACACAAACTTAACTGCATAAATCAAAACTGCAATAAAAATGGAGGTATAAAAATAAACTGAACAGGTATGTGGGAGGAAAAGTAATGCATAAGATAATAAAAAAGAGCAGGGTAGCGGTTACCCAGTGTAGCAGAGGGGTTTCAAACACTGGAGGGTGTCCTTTTCCCGATCAGTGAGGAGGATTCTCAGCATCCAGTCGTGTTCCAAGTGAAGAAGCTCTTACAAGAGCTTGTGTGAATAGCTGTATAGCGGTTACCCCAATAAGAGACAGGACTCTAGATTGAGGGTGAAGTAGAACTGAGGTTTAATGGCAGGTACTCTGCTTTTATGAGGTGCTCCCATGCAAGGGAGACACCCTCAGACAAGTAGACATTAACCATTCAGACAATGGTTACATCCCACAGATTCCCTCCCCTCTGTTTGGGAGATAATTGAGTTTCTTACTGTATCTACTCAATTATCTCCAAGCTAAAACTTATACTTTTTTATGCATTTTTATAACTCTATGATTTTTCATCCTACAGGAATAAAACTTATATTTTTATGAACAACACAACTTGGGGATAAACATATTCAAAATTCGTACAAATCCATTCAGTTGTTACAGAAATATTGAAGTGTCTCTTTGGACCGACCGCACACCTGTTTGCATGCCCAAAACAGTTCCACAGATTCAGGCTGTGTGGTCAGTCTATTTCTGCCTTGAAAAATAACAAAGTCCCATCCGAAGGCGACGTTCGAATAGTCGAACGCACTTCGCCTTCTGTCGAAGTTTCGAATTAAAAACGGGGTTAAGTTTCAGCGGTGGTCGTTAGTTAAGTGGCAGTCTATTTTACACAAAAAAGATGACAAAGTCCCATTCGAACATACGTTCGAATCTTCGAATGGGACTTAGTCTCCAGCCACAGTGTCGAAGAGTAGGGGAAGCTACAGGTCAGCGGTGTTCGTTCAAATGTGTGGCTGATTTCTGTTCCAGGGATTTGACGGGACACACCGCTGACCGCGTTTGCTGGCCGCCGCCACGTGTTCGATTGTCTAATGGCGGCCACCTCGACTACTTCGGTACTTCGGCTGTATCCGAAGTGCCATATCAAACGTACCCATCCTTTGCACAACACAGTTAAAGGGCCAGAAACAGTCTTACTGTCATTACAACATATATTACAGATTAAACGAAAAACAGGGGGATCTGTTACAAGCAGGTTTGGGGTAAGGGCTCCAAGTTCAACTGAAGGAACTCATGGTACCATACACAGACGTATATTGTAATAAAAGACTAAGCGTCCTCATTGTGTATTAGAATACAATGCAGATGTGTGGGGTCGATTCTAATCTAATGTCGGCAAAATCTCTCCTGTCATTGTGCGTATGCTGACAGTGTCTATTCTTTTTGAACGTGTACATAAAATTAATAAAAGCATCTATTGCTCGGTGTGCTAGAATAAGCCTTTGGCATCAATGACTGAAAACAGACTTACGGTTAACGGTTAAGACCTAAATAGTAAGCTCGAATGAGACTTTGCAGTGCCTGCTAATCATAGTGCTTGTGCAGTCTATCATTCTACGTCACCCTCTCTAGTGCTCAGATTTTCAATATTAGCTAACATAGGCTGATTAGAGACAATAATTAGAAGCTTAGCGTTACATCTATTAAACATTTAGGAATAAAAGAAAATGAGAGGAGAGAGTTCAAGAGTGTAGCATGTCTGCATTCAGTCCCTTTCAGCCCATGCCGGTAAATTGTCATCCGGGTCGGGAAGGGAAAGTTGCGGGGCGAGGACCCTCTCCAGCCCCAGACCCATGCAGAGGGAGGCATCGTCAGACCACTGACTCGAGGGCTCTGTGAGTTCGAGGTACTCCCATGTCGGTTGCGGGTGGAGCCGCTGTTCCTTCGCCGCCTGCGGCGGGCGGCTCCAACTGCAGGGTGGTCGATGCTGCGGGGGCAGTTTCCTCGCAGCCCTCAGCCTGTGTGCTGGAGTGGCTAGCTTGGGGATGGTCGCATTGTCCAGCTCTGGTCTTGCGTTCTGTCTGCCTTTGCAGTGGCGTCTTTCTCCGCTCCTCGTGGGCTCGGTTCAGCCTGCTCGTATCCGGTAGGGTTTGCAGGCTAGCCTGAGGTGCTTGCAGTCGTTCTCTTAGCCTGTGCCAGAATTGGGCAAAAGCAGCATCCAGACGCCGATGAACATCGCTATAGATCTCTGTCTTAGGTATGCATTTTGGCTCGCATGGTGTGCTTGCCGCCGCCATTTTGGATGCGCTATGTGCTTGGCTGCCCTGGTGCTGCGGCTCGTCGAGCTGTGGTTTCTGCTTGTTACTGCTTCTCCTGTCGCTTGAGGTGCACCGAGATGACCCCCATCGGTCCGGGGGGGAGGGAGGTAGGAGGCGATAGGCCCGAGGGATCAATGTCCAGGTCAGTCGGCGCGGGTCCCACTGACCAATCTCCGGTAGGCCTCAGGGTATATTGTCGGGTCCCCGGGGGGTTGCAGTCTTGATTTTGGTATTGGGTGATTCTCCCAGGTATTCCCGTCATGATAGCTCCTCTCCAGTGTTCAGTCGTGTCGTTTTTTGGGGGGTTTATCCCCGAAAAGTGCAGAATGAAGCGGGAGCTGAGGTTCAGCACAACCGCTCAGCCTGGATGCTAGGCTCCTTCCCCCACGAGGATCCTGTTTTTAAATCAACAAAAAGCAAGCCGGTAATTTATTCTAAAAAAAATTTAAAAAGGCAAAAAAAAAAGTATTTAGAAACTGACAAAAAAAAAATTCACACAATACAATTTATACCTAGTGTAAATACACGTCATCTGGGTGAGCAATTATAAAACGCTTCCTTTCTATGTGTAATGTATTCCTAATGTAAAATCTTGACAACCTAATATGTTTTGCATTCCTGTAAAATTTCATCAATTATTAATTGCGCGAAAATATATTAAAAATGAAAAGAAAATCTGTTTCATGGCTGAGTGTTTTTTTTCTTTATCGCAAATCCAATTGATGTCACTAAGAGGCAGTACTTTGTTGTGCAATAATTGCCCTGAACTGACCTACGCAGGGACGCTGTATGCAAAGTGTACATGCGTGCATTAAATACCCTTAAAGGATGGGCAAGAAATAGGAAAATGCTTTTAATGCCAACATTATCTTTTAAGGACCAGCAAGGAAAATAAAAAACATGTGCATGTCTTAACACATGGTTCTGCAAAGGGGGGCTCAGTGCATGTTTAAGGGGGCCATAAATAAAGGTTAATAATTCGAATTTTGTAAGCCATAAAAAAGTGAT